CTATCAGTAATAGTTAACATGTAGCTCTAAAACTTGACCACTATCAGTTAGAGTTAACATATAGCTCTGAAACTTAACCACTATACGTAATAGTTAACATGTAGCTCTAAAACTTGACCACTATCAGTTAGAGTTAACATATAGCTCTAAAACTTAACCATTTATAGTAAACGTTAACGTATACACGTGATACTTGACCAAATTCAGTTAGAGATGACAAAGATGATGTATATTAGAACCATACAAAAACAACACAGGAAGAATGAACAAAGTTTCCATTTTTCAACTTCGCGGTTTGCTTGCTTCAGTGCTTTCTTCAACTGCTTTGCCTTGACCGTCATATCATTTTCAACGGGGACTTCTGAGTAATCTGGAATATTCCTACTTACCATTGCATCTTCACTGTGAGCCCAAGCGAAAAACTTGTATTGCCTCTTTGGGAAATTTGCACATCCCCAGAAGTATCTATCCTTGTTCCTCCTATTTTTGCACTGCCTCATGGGTGTTGGAATGTTACAAAAACAACATACCTCTTCTCATGACTGAACACCCTCTGACGTTTTCATCTCGCAATCTCAAGAGGTAATGAAGGGAAAGTTAGAACTTCTATTAAGCTTATAACTTTCCTATGTGCACATTTTATATTGCATAAGGAATAACTTACTAGCCATTGGAATATGGTTGTTTGAAATGACTGGTTGCTAGCCGTTAGAACAGTGACTAATATGTTGGAGAAGTCACCCATTTAAACTCAAAATCTTGCCATGACAGGTGAAGGTCTGAAAACGTCTCTCATGCTTGCAGTTTCTATTAACAGCATGAACAAAATGAATCTAACAGGCATTATCATAGATTACAAAAGTACAACGCTATATACTTAACAACTTTAAAACCATCTATATGTCTCATACAAAAGTATTGTTGTTAGAAGTTGAAACACACTAGTCACGGATGGGTTCATTGCAGGTTGCTCTATTGTGACCTTCAACTTTACACCGAGAACATTTGACGGGCCGTTTGTATATGGTTCTGTTGTTTATGCGTCTTGTTCTATTTCTTCCCCTCCTCTTAGTGGTAATTGGTGGCAAAATTTGGATCTCATCTGTGGACACACTCCGCTTCTCATAGTCTGGTATGGGATATAATATTTCGTCGTAGCTCTTCTTAAACGCTTCTACGGACATGAACCAATCACAATATTGATATACATCTCTTTTCATATAAATAATGACTGCACAAGCATGGACACAAGGAATACGGGTTACGTCCCAAGCTCGGCAAGTGCATGTCCTATTCTCCAAATCAACGTGAGTGGTTCTATGTGATTGCACTTCGAAAATATCCTCTCTAGATTGCCTAATCTCTAAAGTCCGCCCTTTTTCCATATTTTCTCTAACAATCTGCTCAGCTTTAGGACAAAGATAGCTTGTCCACTTACACGCCATTATCCGTCTGTTGTTCATGCGAGTCATAAGTTGTTTTCGGATATGCTCTACCATTCGTAGGATACGTAATAAACGGGCTTCACGTATCTAGCTGTTAAAGGATTCTGCGACATTAGAGGTTACATGGCCATATCTGCAAAGGACAACATATAGGAAGTATGATGGGTATATAATATGTTTTCTTAACAAGTGACCATAAAACTTAACCTATACTGCTAAAGGCTAACATAAAAACATCATAGTTAACATATATTGGTGAAAGTTAACATATATCAGCGAAGGTTAACCTATAAAAAGGATACTTCACATATATGCATAACAGTTAACATCAACCGCAAAACGTCATAATGATTGAATGCATACCTAATGCCAGGGAAGAAGGCATTTGCCCAATGCTCTGGCGAGTAATTAATTACAATCTCATATGCGACTGGAGCCATCTCATAAATTTCCTTCATGTAGTCGTTCCATTCCGCTATAGTGTATTTATAGCAAGCAGTTTGGAGCAAATTCCCCAAAACCTGTGTGTCCTTTGCCTTCATTCCCAAATCCTTGAGCTTTGATCTAAAATTTTCAACTAGATGCAGAACGCAGCGTGAGTGAATTGCTTCAGGGAAATATTCTCTCACGGCTTCTCGAATCCCCTTGTCGGCATCAGAAATAATTACCAATTGGTGAAAGAATTGTACGGGTCCAACCTTTCATACAGTATGGACCACAGGCCTTGTAGGAACCATCTCCAATTATCAACATTTTCTTGATCACATATACAATACGCAAGTGGAAATATCCCTTGGTCTCCGTCATAGGCTATGTCGCTCAGAAGCATGCCTTTATATCTGTCTTTCAAAAAGGTCCCATCCAAAAATAAAAGGGGTCTACACCCATTTAAGAAACCCTGGATGCAAGCAGCATAACATATAAACAGTCTTCTGAACCTTCCTTCATTCTGGTCAATGCAAATGTAGCTTCCTGGATTCGTTTGCTTCACCATTTGCTCATACCTGTACAACAATGCCGCTTCTGGACATGTAAATAAATATAATACATTGGAACATAAGGGTAATATATTAACATTAAAGCGGCTACGATAAAGATTTGTACACAAGTTATAAATTAACTATAATATTTATCATCTTAATTGATCATAAGCCTCATAGCTATCACCATACATATCCTGCTGCACTCTTTCTTTGCCCCACCATATCTTACTGTATTCAAGTCTCAATCCAAATCGAGTGAGGAAGTCCTTTTGCACATCAATTGGGCGGATTTCAGGTCGTGCCTTTAATACCGGTCGTAATTGGGCTGCTATGAACTTGCGAGATGCCCGTGATTGCCCTGACAAGGTAGAATGTTGTCCGCAACTGTGTTCATTCACAAACCTTTTGATTTCCATTCTTTTATCATTTTTAACAGGAGCTGCAAAGAGCATCCAAGGGCATTCATACGTCTCCTTATATCGACAACAAATGCGGATACGTTTGGGTTCATTCTTTAGAAATTCATATTCAAATTTTTTGGCTATGGAATAGTATTACAAAGCTAGTCTTAATTCAGTTACGGTTTCAAATTGTTGCCCCTTTTCAGTTAATGATGTGTGCCATCATTGAAGAATGCTCGAAGTGTTATTGAGAATATCATCAACCCTCATTACAATCTCACCAGACGGAAAATCAGTTTGGATTCTCTCTGAATTGGATGCATTTCCTGGAGGAGGACAACTATAATCTGCATTCAAAGAGGCATCCATGTTGCACAATTTAATCAAACAGTGAGATATCCTGCACACTGTGTTAAATATTCTTCTTATAACTTAAGTTAACAGCACTATGATGAAAGTTAACAATATGCATGGTTAACACAGCACACCAAAAGTTAACTAACTGGGTATAAAATTAACCATTTTGAGTAAAACTTAACATAGAGCAGTGGAATTTAACAACAATGGACATGGTTAACACAGAAAGACGAAAGTTAACATGTTCAAGAAAAGTATAACATGTTCCAATGAGAGTTAACATGTTCATATAATAGTTAACATATATCTTAGATAATTAACCTGTAAGCTGAAGGGTTAAAATGTACCCATCAGCGATGGCAACTATTTTTCTCCAAAGTAGCATTGAAACCTGAAATCACAATTTCAACATCCCACATATCCCAGTTTCAAACAGAGTTCATTCTATTACTTACAAATCAGTAATAACTTTCTGTTTTTTCCTCAGGAGTAGGACACTACTTGGCATCAACATCTTGCATTTTAATCAGAACAATTCTAGTTATTTACTTGCGTTCCAACGTGCACTTCAAATCATGCAGAATATAGCATTATCGCCTGACGGCACCATGCTCATCAACTCTTTGGAACCCGTTGGGGGTTGTTCAAATTTATGACGACAATTATACGGTTACATTCAAGGGATTTAAAGCCCAGAGGGGTGATTGAAAGTTGACCAAAAGATAACAGTGCTTACATCACACTAAGCACAATGTTATAAAGAGTTTATTAATTACTTACATTTCGCTAATAACTTTCTGATTCTTCCCTGGCGTGGAACACTCTACATTAACAGCAGCCTGCATATGAATCTCCGTACAACCAATATTTCGATTGTGCTCCAACATGCACTTCAGGTCATCTTCGTTCTCAACTGAAAAACTCAGGTTGGGGTGCCTCTCAGATTTATATATCAAGGAAAAAGATTCTTCAGGTACTTTCAATCTTTCAGCCACACCATATTTCAGTTCATAAAAGCTTGTTGTCGACATTAGCTTCATAAATATGTCATTCTCGCCTAAAGACACCATGCAAATCAAGTCATCGTCAGCCATTGGGTGGTTGAGAGTTATGAGGACAGTTAGAGGACAGTTATGAGGAGGTGAGGAGTAATTGAGGGGATTTCAGCCGCATAAGCATGGTTGACAGTTGAAGAACATACCCTAATTTCATTAATGAGAGAGTGAGAGCTAGAACTAACCGATTTATAATAAAAGCTGATGAAGCAGCACAGTAATGGAGGGAGCGCGCGCTTTTTTCCCCCGCTTTCCTCCGTCGCTTCGCCTTAAATGCGATGAGAGCGGTCGCCGCCAAAGGAGGAACCCATTTAGCCGGTTTTCCTATGAGAGAGATGAGGGTAATTTAGGTATGTTGGTCAAAATACACTCAATACATGTATATGAATGGGTTTTTAGGGCTGGGCCACATTTTTCACTATTTTATGGGGCTAAATGCTAAGGGAATTATTTGCTGGATCTGGGCCACAACCGGATCTTTTTTTTTGGGGCCTTGAAACATTTTTCCCTAAGTTCTATCTCTCTCTTCCTTTTTCTCTTCGCATCAATTCCATTGCGTTATTGAGCAAGATACAATCAAGGAAGAATAATAAAGAAAACACAAAAATCAGCTTAAAGGAGCGTTTGATAATCAAGACGTTTTTGCCATTTCCGTTTTTTTCCAAAAAAACAATGAAATGTTTTTGGTAAATGTGCTCTTTTTTTTACCTGACCCCCTAAATAATCACTTCTCTCAAAACACCTTCCCGTTANCGAGTAGTCGCCGCTGCCGCCTCCACGTCACCACTGCTGCCTCCTCATCGCCGTTGTCGCCTCCGAGTCGCGTTCCCATTTACGCTCTCACCCTCTCATCGTCACCAAAAACCAAATCAAAACCCTAACCCTTGTTTCTCTTTCACTTGTCGTCGAGCTGCAGTCCTACTCCTCTCTCTCTCCCCTCTCTCATCGCCCAGCCCCCACCTTCAACCGCCATCTCCTTGGGAAATTGTAAGTGTATTTTCACAATTATCCCAAAAATTAGTTTGGATTTTGGATGATTTTTACAAAGTTAGGTCGGTTTGGTTGCAGCGGGGCCGAAGGAGTGACTGAGGGGTCAGAAGAAGAAAGCGGCGAGGTACGTGTTGGATCCCATCCCATCGAGGCGTCGCAGCGGAGCCTGCGATCCATGTATCTCTTGATGAGTAAGTTCCATTTGTTATTGTTTTGATTTCTTCATGTACTATGCATAATTTAGTTCATCTGGGATTGAAAGTAATCAAGTGTATTCTGATGTTGGAAACTGAATTCAGTGTGAGTTAAATTGGTTTTCAAAACACTTTTGAAAAAAAAAACACCATGCCATGGTGTTTTTCTACAAAAGCATAACAAGAAAATCACCTTGATTACCAAGCACACCCTAATTATCGTAGTACTACGAAGACAATATCACAAGTCACTAAATTTGAATTGTACTAATTATACTATAGCTTTTATACACTTTTACTAGACAAAGTCCTATACTGATTTACACTACGATGTCATATTCTTTCAGAAACAGAGACATGAATAAACTACAATATCATATTGTTAATTAGATGTCTGTTCTGAATTAAAAGTTGGGAAGCATTGGAGAACACTAAAAACTATTAAATATGAGAATCTAAGATGAAGGCAGCATACTTCGAGAACTTAAACTTATATGCTTGAATTAAACATGCACTTGATGTCACATGAAGCACTTTGTGCTGAACTAATATTTCCAGTGTATCTGCGAGAAGATGGTCTATAATTCTATGAGTTGTATATTTCTGCGAGGTCATGTGGATTATGTTTACTCTTGATTTCGGACGGAGTCAAGAAAAAATGCCTAGATTTTGGCGGCAAGTTATTCTTCAATGACACATAGATGCATGTATCATCTAGTTGCCGACAGATGTTAGATTGAGGCCTGAAGCTATAAGAACTTGCCATAGCTATGGCAAGTTATTCTTTTCTATATCGACTTTGTTTGGTCCTGCTCCTGCACATGTGTTTTCTAAATTTTCTTCCCCCCCCCCCCCTTTGTTTTTACTTCCACTTTGGGCGCCCTCTCCTTGCCTTGACTAGGTAGAAGGGGTTACGGGAGCTCGATAACCATATAAAATTGTTCTTATCAATCATTAGAGGATTTGTTATGTGTGGACAGGGAGATAGTGACCGTATAAATTTATACGTGACTAATATTTATATGGCATGCTATGTTGCACGGGTACTGGTACTGAACATAACCACCAAAGTTGTAAAATATAGAATATTGCAGACTGGTCTGATCTGCCACATGATATTTCACTGTTTCTATTGTATCAACTCAGTTGATACTAGCCATTTGCAGAGTCGGAGATGATGAGTGGACCAAAATAGAGATGGAACAAAACCAATATCTTGATATTGCGTGTTATAAAGGAAAAAAATATTTGTGATGCAGTATGAGGGTTCATTCCATTGGTGGTTGATGTTGTTCAAGACTTTTAGGATCACTACGATTAATGTTCCCGATCATCCACTCATAAGAAAGGGAATCACTCGATCTCGGCTAAAGTTTGTGGACTAGATGGTTGCAGGTCCAATTGCATTTATTACTTGGAGGATTATATCGTTAATTAATGATAGCATGCTTGGTTGTCAGATTGATTGTGGTTCATTCTGGCTAGAGGACGGATGAACTGGCCCATTGACTGAGGAGGTTTTATCATTTTGGTCTGCATGCATGCACCTGGATTTTGGTGTATGCAGTGTTTTTCGTAAAGGGGATTTCCAATTTGTTTTATTCGAACTTATCATATTGACCTATTATTAACTTGTAATCAAACTGCCCCTCAGTTCTTTCTCTATGCATATACAGTTTGCATATGCTGTAAATTGTACTGAATGATGATGATCACAAATTTTTATAGATGTTTTAAACTCGAAACAGTAGCATTACTCTGTAGTTTCTTCATTACTAGTTTGGAGAAAAGTAAGGCTTAACTTGTTATGTTTAGTCATCAACAATAGAACCAAGATGAGTGCTTTGTAAATGTTGCATAGTTTTAGGAGTTCAATTTGAATTTTTGTAATTCCTTAAATCTTCAAGTGAAAGAGACACCTCAGTCTAAGTGGATGCAATTGGCATCCCCCCCCAAAAAAAAAAAAAAAAATTCTATGGGCCCATGCGCATAAATTATTCATGTTGGGTTAGAATGTATCCGGTAGTTGAGACTTGACAGTCCAGATGTTAAAATTAATATAAAAATTATAATCCTCTATCCTCACCAAAACTTCAAAGTTTTGCTGTGATGGTCAAATGGACTTAATTTAAGATGATATAACAGTGACCCAGGATCAAATCCCCATTGGCCACAAATTAAAGCAAAATTTTTAAAAATTGATACTGTTGCATGAGTTTAGATTTTGGCTCATAAAAAAGCATTCAACATGGGAGGGAGGGAGGGAGGGAGGGGGCGGGGGGCATTGTTAGAATATAAAAAATATAATCTTTGATTCTGCCATAACTTTAGAATTTTGGTCTAATGGCCAGAGAGACTAAATTTAAGACCAGACAATAAGTTTATGTTGGCAAAATTGTGTAGGAGTCAATCCTTGCTTGTCAAATATGAAAAGAAATCCTTACATAAAATAAATTGAGTTATTTTTTTATTTACAAAAATTAAAATTATATAAAAGAAGCTAAAAGAGTTTGTCTTAGATCCACCTCTAATTCTCCTTACATCCACTAATTATAATATGCCAACAACTTCAATACTCTAAAAAATAATTTTTGGAACAACGATGACAAATATTGTAATAGTTTCATAGTTTTAGCTCACACAATTTCACATTGGGCCCCACTCACGTAAAATATAGCTCCGTTGTCAAATAAGAGTAATTATAGTGAACTTTAGGGTCAATTTATTTGGGCCACAACAAACTTATTTTTGTCATCGTGATGCGGACATCCAGGAGCATACACGGGATTTTCGTCGTGTCTACCAACGTAGGAGACATCGCGCGCTAGCTGTGCATCAGATTCCTATCATCTGGTTCTGATTGATGACAGATTTAGTAGCTGAGATTGATTGATTAGGGTCCCTATTTTTGTTGCATTTTGAATTTTGAATTTGATTTTGAATTTCAAATTATGGTTTAGATTTGGCAAGTAGTTAGTTTTAATTTTCTGATATTTTGAGAGAGATTCTGTGAGATTTCCAAAACTGTAATCGTTCTCTTTAAAAGAAATTGCTGTAATCAGAAGAAGGAATTGAAGAATAAAAATGAAAATTATCTTGCTTGATTGTGGTGTGAAACCCTAGCAGTAATCTCGTTTTCTTCCCTGTAGAAATTAAAAGAAAAAGAGCATAAAAAAGAAATCGCCACTGTTCATCGTCTTCAACCTCCAACCCCTTCTTCAACCCAACGAATCCAGCATCCCTCCTTCCCCCCTTCTTCAACCAAACCCCCATCAGACCTCATCCTCCCCCACTCTACGCAGAGCAACCACCGCCATCCCCCAAACGGCCGCCGCCCCAATCAGCAGTCAAACATCCCCGCCCTCAGCCACCAGAGCCGACTTCCCCTCAACAGCAACCCCATCCCCAGTTCGCCCGAACCACCCCCTCCCCTCGTTCTCGCCGCTCCACCCTCTCCCCGATTCCCCTCTCACAGACCCCGCCACCAACGCCGCCGTTTTCTCCTTCCTCTGAAGCCCTCACCGTCGCCACCCACTTGACCCAATCCGGAGTTGTTGAAGCTAGTTGAGTCAGATTCAACCCACTTGATTCCTGACTTTGCAATTGATGGTGCATGGCTGATCCTGATGCTGATGATGGAATCGTGCTAGATCCAGAGACCGGCATCGCAGATTTACAGCTTTCCCCGTGGTTTGATTATCAGTCATTCGAGAACGTGCCCGAGTACGTTGAGCGTGTGACTCATCAGATCGTTGACAACATAGAGAGTAGCTTGGGAATCAGTTCATGGCATCGGCGTTTCCATCCAGATACACCGCTCCATCCGAATTACGCCGCCCTCGGTGGAGAGCTTTCACCCCTCATTTTTGGCGTATACGAACCACCTCCGGAGGAGCCTCCCGTCGAACCAGTTCAACCCGACGAAGGTCCAACTTTCTTTCGCCCAATTATTTACGGAACTGCTATTGCTTGCATGTTGCTATCAATATTATTATCGATCGTATTTGTGCTGTATTCAGTTTGATTAAGTGAGCGAGCGAATCTGTTGCTAAGTACTTTTACTTATCTAAATATTACAATTTGAACTGTATTGAGAGAACGAATCATTACATTTATTTTCTGGATCATTTACAAAGATTTGAACTTAGTACATTGCAACTTTTGCTTAAAACCTATCGAAAGCTACACTTTATTCTTGAGCTTCCTGCCTAGATCGATCGCTGATTTGGCGAAGCATTGCTGTTGTTAATCTTCATACCTGCATTACATTGTTTCGCATCATTTTTGGTATCAGAGCACCTGGTTCTAGGTTAGGAAATTTGTTGAGTCTTTATTTAAAAAAAAAGGTCATCTCATTTAATTTTGTGCACCCATTCATATCAACTAGTTGTTAGCGCATGCCCACTCGCACGGGTCTACACTATCGATTAGGAGAGTCTAGTGAGCCAATTAGTGAGTCCAGCATGTCAGGCAGTGCAAATCCCGAGTTCGCCGAAATTCTTAAACAAATCGCTGAGCTAGCAGGAGCGGTAGGTAACTTAGCCCAAGAGAGTAGAGCTACCAATAAAAGGATCACTAGGATCGAGGAAACACGTGTTGCAACCCCGTCGCTGCAAGATCAAGGTTATCAACATATCGCCCAACCGCTGCAAGGTCAAGGCTATGGAAACTTCGTTCAGCGACCCCCACATCAACTGGTACCTGATCCGGATGCGCAATACCTGAGGAGTATTAAGATCAACGCCCCTACCTTTGACGGCAAGCTCGACCCACAAGCTTACTTGGACTGGCTGAAGAGCATGGATCGTTATTTTGATTGGTACGCCCTGACGGAACCCCGAAAGGTCAAATTCGCCGCTATGAAACTTACCGGACCTGCTTGCCAATATTGGACCAACCTCGAAACGTTGAGGCACATTAGAGGTGAGTTACCGATTACAACTTGGCGAGAAATGACCAACGAACTTAAACAGAAATACCTTCCGCCATCATTTTAT